TGATGACCTGCTATTCGAAGTTATTTTCTTATCTTTGCAACTCACTATACCATAAATCTCATCTTTCACAAAGATAATATTTTGCAAAGATAAGAAAATAACTTAGAATAGTAGGTCATTAACCGATCAAGGACCAGTGAATGAATATGAGGTGCAAAGATTGGATTATTCATGAATAATCAAAAGGTGAGATTATTGAAAGAAGACCGCTAAAAGGTTGGATTATTAGTTTCCTTTTTCCCTTTGGATAAGACCATTTGGAGTGGTGTGAGAGTCTAAATGTCAAAAATGGACTCCGTCGATATGAAAATAATGTTTTGACTCCTATTTCTCTGCATTACAGCACCGTCAATAAAATACACTCTGCACATTTTTTTACATCTCAATTTAGTAAAACATTAATTAAATGATTATAAGTAATGTTTTCTATCCAATTTTTTCTTTGGATAATTATAAAATAAAAAAAGACACATTTCGATGTAAAATAAATAAATTTCATTAATGTTTTTTTTACGTTTTTCGATGAACTGAGTTCAAACTTATTAGAACATTGGATTCTCTTTTCAACTTGTGTGTCTATCCATAACACATTGGATTCCCTTTTCACATGTGTAAAAAATGCACATTCTGATGTTAAAAAAATCTTTAATTTCTTTTATACTTTTTTCTCCTATTAAAATATAAATTGGGTTTAAAATTGGGTTCAACTACTGTTTGTCTATTTGTGGAGACACCATGGTTTAATAAATTTATGTTTCGTGTATTTTTTCAGCCTAAAATACTCTAGCAGTTTGAACATCATTTATACATTTAATTTTATATATGTGATATTGGTGTCATATGAAAGATCATAAAAAAAAATAAAAAATTTGATATATGTTTTGTAAAAATTGAAGCACAAATAAATAAGTTATCACACTTTTAAAAAAGAAAATATTTTTTATGTGGTCCCATTATTCTTCTGTATGCCCCCTTTTTGTTGTCCACTATTTGTTTCAGCATTTTCCTTTTTTCCATACTTTTTGGCTGTCAACCCAACCTTTTATATATGAGACCTTCTATCCAATTTTCCATTTTTAGACTCCCTAATTGGTCTCCAATGTAAGCATTTAAGGATCTAAAATTTCCATCTTTGACATTTTAGACTCCTAATACCTTACCACTCCAAATGGCCTAATAAGGATAGGAACAGAATTATAAAAAAAAAAAACGGAAATGGTGTGTGTTTAGTAAAAAGGGGCTCTATATAGAATTACCCTTTGGTTTTGCATCACCGAAGTAAATTAAACCATTAAGGAATTCTAAATGCAGCCCTACCTTGTTTTACCAAGCACAGGCCTAATTAAAATTCATTAATGAAATTTAAATTAACTACATATAATATCCCTGTTTGTCCCAAGTCCCAACATCATTCGCAATCACCTTCATCCCCAGCTAGAAAACACAGGCCTAATTTTGTTTCTGTAAGCAGCTAGAGGAACTAAGGAAGTCATGGCCCGCGGCCGAAGGTGTCTAGAAATTTTCCAAAAGTGCTCTTAATATAAATAAATAAATAAATAAATAAATAAATAAATAAATAAATAAATAAATAAATAAATAAATAAATAAATAAATAAATAAATAAATAAATAAATAAATAAATAAATAAATAAATAAATAAATAAATAAATAAATAAATAAATAAATAAATAAATAAATAAATAAATAAATAAATAAATAAATAAATATAGGAGTATAAAACTATAAATTAAACTTCCATCATTTGCAATGGAGCCAAAGATTCATTGTTTTTTGACTTGAGAATATGATGGAATAAAGCAAAATGGCTCACTAAACTGTCTGCGCTTCTTTGTTATGAAGTAGCAGTCAGTCCATTCAATTTTGGACGCGATTTTCACTATGAGTCATCCGGAAACAGTCTCTCTGTGCTTTAGTACAGGGGTAAGATTGCGTACATCCGACCCCCCCTTACCCCACTGTAAGTGGGAGCCTTTGCAGCACTGGGGTAAATGCAAATGATGAGTATAAATTAAAAATAAATAAATAAATAAATTGCAAACAACCATGATTGGTGGGGACAGTGGTGGTGGGATCGATAGAAGTATGAAACAAAAAATGAAACAATAAAGTAAAAAGGAAAAAGAAAATCTAGCTCATGTGGCAATGAGGTGTCGTGAAGTAATTAGTGAGGTGATGATGATGTGGAGTTGAAGTACACTCACTAAAGAATGAGGTGACATTATAATACGGAGTAGGGGTGGGAAAAACCGAACCAAAACCCAGAAACCGACCCTGGATCGATCCGAATTATGATCCCGGTCCGGGTTTTTTTCTTTTTTAACCGCCCCGAATTAAAAAAAACCGGACCGAACCGAAAATCCCGGGCTCATTAACAGGCCTTAAAATCTATAACCCGGCCCGGACCGAAAAAACCCGAAACAATTAGTTTTAATATAAAATTAATATAGTATATGAATATAAATAAAATATTTCCTAATATATGATTATAATCACAGTGGATAAAAAAAGATTTAGTAACTTTTAGTGACTACAAATATGTTGAATTTGTTTAGCGTAATGATGACCATGAGAATATATTTATAGCAACTCTAGTAACTTTTTGATTTATAAAATTTATTTCGTAATATTTTTAAGAAACCTATATTATTTATATATGTACATCTTACATAAAATATTAAGATAATTATCTTCTTTAAATTTGAATTGTTGGTGATTTTGAAGACTAATATTTGTGTTATTATTTGCGGTTTGTATTTTTGATTAATTTTATTTGAAAATAAGTGTTAAAATATAAAAGAACAATGACATATTTCACGTCCGGGCTTTAACCGGTCCAACCCGAACCCGGGCTACCAAAAACCCGACTCGGACCGAATATAATGGGCTTTATTCCAGTCCCTGATTTTCATAACCCGAGACCTTCCGGGTAATTTCCGGGTTTAGCAAAAACCCGACCCAGACCGGACCGATCCCACCCCTAATACGGAGTATGTAAATTTGTTTGGAACCTACAAAAGCGCTTATTAAATACTTTTAATAAATTCATGTATTTGATTGAGTGATTATGAAGAGGTCGTTTGACAACACTGCTTTTCGGCTTATCAGGCTTATCGGCCAACTTTTTCATCAAATACGTAACTTTTGCTTTCGCGCGCTGAATTGTGTAATAAGCCGAAAAAGTATGATTGAAGTACTTTTCTGGCTGTATTAGCTGAAGTTACTATAGATGACCATTTTAGCTATTGTTACATATAATTTTTTCTTTATTTTATTAATAAAATATATTTTTGAAATAATATTTTCTTAAATCAGCAGAATCAGCCAATGCAGCCAAAACTTCATAAATTTCAGCAGAATCAACCAAATCAGCAGATTTTGGCGCTACCAAACGGGCTCGAAATATGAGATTTTAGTTGAGAATTTCAAAATAATAAACAAAACTATCTTAATTTTTTGTCATTGCTAAAATTGAAATATGAAAGCAATATTAGAAGTGAAAGATTAAGATGATTGAAAATCACTCTTTATATGATCTTTCATATGACACCAATATAATATTGCACGCATAAAGTTTTTTTTAAATGAAGTTTGTGCTTTAGAGGTATTAAAATTCAATTTTTTCTTAAATAGATCCAAGTGCTCAAATTAATTAAGATCCCATAGTTAGAATTTTTTTTATATCTTTTATAGTTTTTTTGAAAATAGGTTTGAAGTAACGAAAATTAACTCTACATTTGACCTCAGAATGTTTGACTTTTTATATTATAATTATTCACAAAAAATTGACGGTGATGGATTATATTAAAAAATTGAATTGACTGATGAAATGCGTATAAAAGTGGATATTTTGAATTAGGCATGTCACAAAAACCTGACACGCAACGACCCGCCCTGCCTCAGGACATTTGGGGTGGGTCCGCCCCACCCTGTCTTACAAATGATGAGGTAGGTCCTCCCCGCCCCGTGCACACAATGGGGCGGGTCCGGGTATTAGTAATGACTCGCCCCGCCCTGCCCCGCCCTGACCCGTTCAATATATATAAGTCTACATAATTTGTTTTACACTACTACTAATATATACATATTCATGTATAATAAATCATAAATTGCATGGTCATGTAAGATATTAGCATTTGTATTTGAGCAAGATGAACCATTAATTGTCAATGTTTTTTATAATTAGCATTTTACATATTCGTTTATTGATATAAAAAGATTGACTATTCCAATTTACGTACTTTTTTTAAATTTTTTGGTAATTGTAACTTTGCATATTATAATAGTGTTTTCTAATTATTTTGATGTAAACTTTATGTAAATGCAGCCATGCAGGGTATAATGACTTCTCGCAAATTGAGATGCATACTAGCTAATTAGATTATGACGGAGCAATGGACTCGCCCCACATGAGACGTAGGGCGAAGCCGGAGCACTAGGCCGGTACACAGAATGTTTTTGAAAAAATATTCAAACATTTTTACAAAAAAAATATAATTTTTAAATTTGGAGTGGGTCAGGATCTAGGTTGGACCTTCCCTAACTCTGCCTTGAATGGGGCGGGTCATGGGTCAACATATAATGAAATGTGTGGGTCACGAGACATGCAGTGATGCAAGTCCATTTAATAAAGTCACATGACAGGTCAGGGTCTTGCACTACCCACCTCGCCCCGGCCTATTTTCATGCCTTATTAACTCACACTTTGATTTATATGTAATTTAGATAAAAATGCAAATTGTATTGTTAATAATTGTGCACATACAAAATGAGAGACAAATAAACACAAAAAAAATACTTATTTTAAAGGACAAAATTTGAGACAAATAAAAAATGAAAGTGGACAATGGCACCATCATTTTGAACAAGACCAAAAGTCATTTTGAACAAGACCAAAAGTACTCCGGCTTCTAGTATAAAGTTATAAACATGTGACATGGGATTATGGTATTTTGAATAATACTGTACTCTACCTTCTAGAAGCGGGTCTATGCTATATGCCTACAATAACATCTCGAGTACATTCCACAATCACGTATATATACACACATCTCACGTATATATGCGATATGTTCGACCTGATTTTAAGCAAAGTACACCGGAAAATATACCGGCAGCCGAAAATGATGAACGCGAGTTTCAACGGTAACGCCGTCGATCTGTCCCGTTCTTTTCTATCCGAGGCCACCGGAGATTCGTCGGATGTCGAGTCTTCCGTTTTCCACCAGAAATCGGCGGCGGTTGAGGACGACGATGCCCAGTCATGGAGCGGCCGTGACGTTATCGGGGAGGTTGACGATGAAGACCGCCTCGGCGACAATTGTCCTCGTCAAGAGCTTATTAATCCTACTTCCAGTTGTTTTAGGTACGAGGAAAAAGTATACAATAATTATAACATCTGTGATGAGGACAATAATGATGAGGACGAGGACGAGGATGAGGATGAAGACGAGGATGGAGTTGAAGTAAATCAACGGCAGATGTTGAACATGAAGATTGGGCAAAAGATCTGGGCGTTGGGAGTTAGGGGGGCAAAACGGACAAAGAAAACAAAGGTTTGTAATTTGGAGATGAATAGTGAAAAGGAGAGGGATAGGCTCTTCTGGGAAGATTGTTTATTGTTCTAAGTAATTAGCATCATCAATCCCCAAGCTTCGGTCCGAAAAAAGTTTGGACTAACTCAGATATAATTATACTTCGTATTAGGGAGTAATTATTATCTTCCGGTCTTCCTTTTGATTAGCATCTTTTATTTTTTCTAATGAGTAATGCTAAACTGTGACCAACTTTACATGTTCAAGGGATAATCAATAAGGTTGACATACGAGTTCCTTGCGCAGCGATAGAGAGCCGCCATCCCCAACCCCCTTCAAGATCCGATTTTGGAAGATGAAGACATTCTCTATGCAATGAAAGATCGAATCAAAGGTTTTTCTATGCTTTCGCTCTTTTTCAATTTCTATTTTCAAGGAATTTGGTCCGACATCTTCATTGGCCGAGAATTTTGTTCGCTTCATGTGAGCGTGTCGTATGTTATTCTCCTAGCAATGTCTAGAGGTTGTGCGTTTCTAATCAGTGTAATCGATCTGGTGAAGCTTTTTCAACCTTGTTGTTCTAATGTTTTAAATACTCGCCCACCACCTGAACCACCGCCTCACTCTGGGAAGAAGAAGATGATCAAGCGGATCTCCTTTTCGGTGGCTGGTCAAACCGATGCTTCAAGAAATTTCTACTCGACTGATTTCCCTTTGTTGGTTGCTGGTCAAACAAATTCTCCCTTTCCGGTGGCTGGTGAAGCCGGATCTTTTAGTTGTAATTTTTTAATTTTTCTTTGGAGTAGCAAGAAGATCAGCATGACTGTTAGACTAGACTACATTATTGCGTGGTTAGCGATCTGGAAGGATTCATTGAATATGTTCCGTTCTATGTCTCATCTCATTGTAGCCTCAGGCTATTCATTCTCTTGCATTTTTGCTATCACTTAATTATAAATTAGTTATTTGATTTTCAAAAAATGCTAAACTGTGACCAAATATATCTTTATATATGATAATACTACGTATAAAAGTATTTATAGTAGAATGATATCAAAATGTTCTTTGTTTAAAATATTATCCTAAACATATAAATTTATAAATTGCAATAAAATACTCCGTATATTGCATCTGTCACGTTAAGTTGTCTCATCTTTCATTTTCATTTCGTATGTCCGTCTAAGATTGTCTCATTCTACGTATCAAATTTGACAAAATTTGTGTAGTTCTTATTATATTCTCACTTTATCAATTTAATATCAACCACATAAATTCAATTTTCTTAGTAATCGCACCTCTTTCACGTCCCAATGTTAGTGGGGGGAAGGTAGTACTACGCATAAGTATTAGTTACTACCTCCTTCCCTTAAAATTCTTCCCCTTTACTATACTGGGATGTCCCAAAAAAATCTTTCGATTTCCCTTTTAGAAAAGCTTTGTATGATTAACATTCACTTACTTTTTCTTACTTTAACCATAATCATACTTTTTTTTATTCATGTTTTCTAAAATTCCGATCCAAGTGAAATCGGGAAGAGTTTTATGGAACGGAGGAAGTAAATTAATAAAAAATTATCATTGACTGAAGTCAATAATGACTAACTAAAGATAGAGCAAAGTGATACTTTATCTCTCTTTTTTTATAGTGATACTTTATCCCCTTTTAACATCACTTTCTCTTTTTTATTGTGTTTCAAAATTTTATTCACTTCTTTTTTTATAAACATGATATAAAAATATGAAACACATAACTTATATCCCTCCTTCCCTACATCACAAGCAATTACCAGCCGCCTAATTGATTTTATGGCTCCATTTAAATGATGAGAAGACCCGTATAATCAGTACAAAATCGAGTTAATGGTCAGATTAGTACTCGAAGTTGCATAAAAAGGGTCAAATAAGTCCTTATATAGGAGGTTCTGTCCGGCCGTCGCCATTTGGGGCGGTTCTCGACGAAATTTTTTGAGCATCTTATTCATTATGTCTAGTTTACTCATAGCAAATTTCAGCAAAAAATGCAACCGAGAAGGCATTCAAATGAATTCTTGAAGATAACTGCACAGTTAAAAACACAGTTATCTTCAAGAATTTATTTGAATGTCTTCCCGATTGAAGTTTTAGTTGAAATTTGGTATGAGTAAACTAGACTTAATGAATAAGATGCTCAAAATATTTCATCAAAAAATTCAATCGGGAACCGTCTCAAATGGCGACGGCCGGACAGTAATATTTATGTATGTAATATAGCTACCAATCATTAGTGTGTGACAAATGAATAACAAACATGTAAGTGGTAAATTATCAAATTAAAAAAGTACATGTAACAAAACGACCAATTAACAAGTAAATCGTAATGGAATTAGACTTCTGCCAGAGTGCCAGGATGGACTGAGAAAGGCTTTCACATTACTAAGTCAGATAGTAGTAGTACTCCCTCCATATCAATTTGTCTGTCTCACTTTTCTTTTTTGATGAATCAAATTATTGTCTCATTTCCCTTTTTAAAAATAAATGCACCGTAAAAGCAGCTACAGAACCGTTACAGTAGCGCTACAGTATCAAAAAATTCTTACTTTTATAAATATATACATTAAATATCTTAAATTACGTACCAAAGCAAATGAGAGAGATAATGTGATACGAAGGGAGTATATATTTAAAAATTTGAAAGTCCCATATAAAAGTGGACCTTATTATTGAGTTGGGCAAACAAATTGGTTTAACCGAACTAAACTCAATTGAAAATGATTACTGTCGGAGATAATATTTGACTGGTTGATTCTACATTTATGAAAATTGATCATGGAAGTTAAAGGCATATTTGTAAGACTTTTTTTTATCGTAAAACATGCGGCTTTAGATTAAAATTGAGAACGCATACAAAACAATCTTCAGACAGATTTTACAGATCCAATCGTGAACCGTAGGAGTACACATAGAATCAGTCACCTCATACAAAGCAACCTGACTCGCTACACCTGAAACGGGCAAACTTAAGCCTAAAACGAACAGATCTGAAACCCTGTCTATCAAAAGAACTACGAAAATCCAAACATTCAAACCACATCTACTCGGAGTAAAACTAAAACTAGTACTACTAAAGAGAAAGTAATAATGAAATAAAAACTTTCCACAAAACTCTTCCTAGTATGGAGGTGGTTCTGGAGGAGGGCGAGCTCTTGCAGTATGGATGAATACAAACTCAACCACCGTCGGAGCGGCTGACCAAGTCTTCACGATCCAGCACCGATACAATATTCTAGCCGCAATTCGTTCATCCTCCAACGTTACCTCCTCCGACATAGTTACAATCTCAAGCGTTAGAACACTTAAAATTAGAATAATCTGCCGCTCCAGCCCCATGTTGATAGGGGCGGCGGAAAATCTCAACCCCTACAAAGAGGGGAGACAGCCGCTAGGTTTTTAGAGAGAAGCCAGAGCTCTCCTCCATCTTAATTTTGGCTCTTAGGACATCTTTTTATATTAAATATTAATACGACCATTAATGTAATTAAGGTGGGGGTTAATTAATTTGAGCTGATAAGTCTGGGTCTGAAACCGTCACAACAAGCAAAACCGTCGGATCGAACCGTCAACAACAGACGAAACGCTGGGGGGCATTAATTACTTTTCCTGTCATTAGGAGTGAACCCCATTGTAAACATAATGCATCCTTAATCGAACAACACACTGAATACTACTCTTGATTTCTGGCCTATATGCATACTTCTTGATTTTCTAGTTGTTCTTGTATGAAACTCATTCAATACATATATTTCTTGTAATTAGTTTTAGCTTACAAAAATTTCTTAAATAAATTGGCGTCGCCTGTGGGAAATCATGCAAGAAAATTCATCACCAAGGTGCAAGCATGATGACAGAATTCCAAAAACATTTGGAAGCATTGAAAGAAGAGATGAGGCGAGAGGTGGCCGAGAAAATCTCATGTATTTAAAAGGGGAATGATCTCCTAATGTTGCAAGTCCAATCGGAGGCCTCCATAGCCTCAAAGTCCATAGTCCCCAGGAAAAACGATCCATTGAGAGCGCCGACGAGATTGGATCTAAACTTCGTCCTTGCCACGAGACAAGCACCAATGTCACCGATCCCATCTCATTGACTTGGGACCGACCAGAATCTTGTAAGGAATAAATGTATTTAGATTTTGATGATGCTAGATTATCTAGAACATTAGAGTACCCCCATTAGAATTGATGTATTAGAATTTTTCTAAGTGTAAGCACTCATAGAATAGTCGACTGGCAGAAGACCTCTAGGCCCTCTGATGAACTCGGATTCCACAGAAGTGCTCCAGGCCCTCTGTTGGACGTTTGCTTGACAGAAGTGCTCATGGCCCTCTGTTGTGTCTCTATTAAACAGAAGAGATAAAGGCTCTCTGAAGCTGCCCCTCTATGCAACGCAACAGAAGATCACATACTTAGAAAGTTTTGCAAACCACTTACGCCGGTGTACCCAACGAAAGATTCCCTCAACGGCTAGGAGTCACTCAACGAAAATGCTACATGACAACATTTAATGCTCATTTAATGAGCTCTACACTCCGAAGAGTTAAAGCTGATGATTGATCGAGATTCCTGGAAAGCCTATCCCAAAATAGCAAGTCGCCAAACTTGCGGGCCCCAACCAGTCAACTCAACAGTACGCGCATTCAATGCAGTTGTCTCCTCTTCCAATGGGAAGACAACCCTAGTATAAAAGATACATGATGAAGAACAACCGAATAACTTTCGCTCTCTCTACAACATTCAAAAGTTATCTTGAGATTCAAACTCCATCTCCATCAACAAGAAAAGCTTACATTGGAAGGATAACATTTTCTCATAATCTTCATATTCCAACAAGAGCAAAGTTCCTACTGTTCTTCAACAACTTCAAGCACTTCATTTAAAAACCTTTTGTGACGAAGCAAGTTGGAGAAAAACTCTGTTTTTCTACAGAACATCTTCTGCAAAGAAGGGCGTCTTAAAGTAGCTGGAGTAGTGAACTGGTGATACTTCAAGGAGACTCATTGAAACAAGACCAGTCTTAAAGGAAGCAAGGAAGTGCATCCCAGGAGACATCTACACTTGAAGAAGACGTGGAGAGCTTCTTAAGTGCTAGCTAGCGGAACAGTGGAATAGTGGAACAGTGGAACAGTTGATTAGATTAGAGGAACGAGTTGTTCGTTGAACCACTAAAACAATCTCTGGTGTCATTTACTTACTGTTCTTTTACTTAACCTGATTAACTCCATAGAAGTGGTATCTGTGTTCAGCAGAACACCTCTTGTGAGTTATCAGAAGGCCTAGTGTCTTTGCTCCTCTGTGAGGCTATCCCGACAGAACCCCTACCAAAAGACCTCCGCTGCCAGTCTGTTCTCAATAGAACAGGCTATTCTGTTAACCTTGGTACTTAGCTTAAAAAAGTTAAAAACCATAACAGTGTCTATTCACCCCCCCTAGACTGTTACCTCAATAACCGGGACCAACAAGTGGTATTTGAGCCTCCTTGTTCTTGTAATCTTTTAGGTTACTCCTTGAACAAAGATCCACTTGTTCTCGGCCTCTTTGATTCTAATTATGGATAACTCTCTTGCAAAGCATCTCATATTTTCAGATCAGAAATATGATGATTGGAAGATCCGGATGAAGGCACATCTCTGTGCCCCTCATGATGAAATGTGGGAAGTCCTAGAAGAAGGACCATTTACCAAATTCATGAAGGTGAACACTGCACATGCCACTGATAACACACAGCCCCAGATGATAGAAAAGTCCAGATCTGAATGGTCTAAGGAAGAGAGGAGACAGTACAACCTTGACAACATAGCCAAAGACATCCTCTACAAGGCCATTGACAACAGATACTTCAACAGGATCAAGAAGTGTCAAAGTGCCAAAGAAATATGGGACAAACTTGATCTTATAGGAGCTGGAGATGAGCAGGAAAGAGACAACAAGATGACCATAGCTATGAAGA